CCTGGAGCTGGCCTACGTGCTGGTGCTGGGCCCTGGGCCGCCCCCGCTGGGACCCCTGGCCCGCGCCTTGCAGCTTGCGCTGGCCGCCTTCCAGCTGCTTAACCTGCTAGGCAACGTGGGGCTGTTCCTGCGCTCCGACCCCAGCATCCGCGGCGTGATGCTGGCCGGCCGCGGGCTGGGCCAGGGCTGGGCGTGAGTGGGGCCCGGGGCTCGCTGGGGGAACAGCGGGGGCTCCGGCCAGGGCAGGGGAGGGGTCCTGGGAGCTGAAGAGGTTAGTGCCAGGTTACAGCAGCGTCCGGCCTCAGAACCGGGCATGCCCGGGAGAAAGAGGATCACTGCTCATTCACCTCCTAGGTGCAAGCTACTGACCTCGGGAGCTGATTTCAATGGAGGAGGAGGCAGATGATAAATTATAGGCATAATAAATACGATAATTAGAGTGTTAGGGGTGGTGGTGATAAGGAAACAAACTAGAACAGGTTTGGGGGGCGCGTTGGGGTCTGGAATAGGGTGGGCAAGGTGGGCCTCACTGAGTTTGGCATTTGAAAGGCTTGAAGGAGGTGGTGGTGCTGGGGGAGTGGGAGGGAGAGGGGGGTGCGGGGGGAGCCGGGGAGGAGTGTTCTGGCAGAGGCAACAGGGCAAAGGCGGTTGTGGGCCCGGCTGTGGGCCCAGCGGGTTCAGCGACAGCAGGTGGGTGCCTGGCGCGGAGTGAGAGCCTGCACAGGGGTTGGCATGCAGATAGTAGGGCACCCTTGCTTTGCTTTTTACGATAAAACAAGTGGAAGGCCACTGGAGGGCTCTGAGCACGGAAAGGACACGATTTAGAGTGTAAAAGGATCAATGGGGCCACTGGGGTGAGACGGCTGAAAGGGGACAGAGGTGGGATATGGGGTACCTTCAAGGTTGAACTCCTCCAGAGTTCCTAGTGACTTAGGTCCAGCAGGAAGAAAGGCCTTGGAGAGGAGAGGCCAGAGAAGCCGAGGACGGGGTCGGAGCTGGGAGGACCTTCCCTTCCCTGCAGTGCTCCCGCGGAGAGGAGAGGGCGCAGAAAGGCTCAGCTGCACGAACCTTTGGGCCCCCCGGGGCGTGAGCTCGCTGGCAATGCTGCTGCCCCATGGGGTTCCGAGCGGACCCTGGGCCTGACTAGGGCCCTCGGGACTGATGGGGGCTCTTTCCCGCAGTTACTGCTACCAGTGTCAAAGCCAGGTGCCGCCGCGCAGCGCGCACTGCTCCGCCTGCCGGGTCTGCATCCTGCGGCGCGACCACCACTGCCGCCTGCTGGGCCGCTGCGTGGGCTTCCGCAACTACCGGCCCTTCCTGTGCCTGCTGCTCCACGGGGGCGGCGTCCTGCTGCACGTCTCTGTGCTGCTGGGCCCCGCCCTGGCGGCCCTGCTGCGGGCCCACGCGCCCCTGCACACCGCCGCCCTCCTGCTGCTGCCCTGGCTCATGCTGCTTACAGGTGGGAGCCGCCGTGTCCCCGTGGGGACGGGAGGCCCGGGGATGGGCCGGCGGGTAGCACATGGGGTTTCTAGCTGGTTCTGCTGGCCCTACGCTGGGGACCCAGTGCCAGGGTCACTTACGGAGGGCGAGGACAGGCTGGCCTTCAGTGGGTATTGTACCTGTGTGGCAAAATACAGGACGTGGGTGGGGTTAGATTTCTGGCTGGGAGGATCAGGGAAGGATTCCAGGGGGTGTGCGCAGGGGAGGAGAGTCTAATAATGGGGGTTCATGGGCCTTGCGGGAGGAGGATGGTGAGGCAGGATTCGAAGGGGGACACTCAGAGACAACCCGGGCAGTTTGATGGGGAGGGCGAGAATGAAGGCTGGGACGGGGTCAGGCAGGCCTGGATGGCAGAGGGGCCGGCCCTTATTGACAGGGCCGTGGGGAGCCAGTGAGGGGCGCACAAGGGAAGCCCCAGTCATTGAAGCTGGGCGGGAGGGTTTGCACCCAGAGGGCTGTGCTCAGGAAGACTGTGCATTCCTCTTCCCTTGGGCACCACCCAAGGTCTTTTCTACTTTGTTCTCTGCCCAGCAGAGTGCTGTGGGCTTAGTCTTTCCTGGCTGCTTCCTCCTGACGTCGGCGGCTCCCTTTGCCGCATTGTTCTAAACTCCCCGGCCACTCTGAACGGTCCCCCCATCCTCTCCAAGCCCTTCCCAAGGAGCCTACCCTGTAGCCCCCACAGGCCTTGGGTGGCCAGCGGCAGTGCCAGTGGCTTTCTCTGCCCACCTGGCTTCCTGAGCAGCTGCCACACCATGACCCCTCCCCAGACTCAGGCCCTCTGACTGCACCCCGACTCAGCCCCTGTGGTCACGCCGTTGCCCCTCGTCCCTGAGACTTGGCCTCCAGTGCACAGTCTGGGCTTCCTTAACTGAGCATGAAGGTTTTGTGGCATCTTGTGGTTCATTAGTTCAGCAGGTACTTCTTACCGTCGTGGGCCAGGAGGGCCCAGGGCCCTTCACCAGCGTCACGCTTGTCCCCGGGGTATGGGTCCCCGCGGTCAGGGAGCCTCTCTGGGGAAGCGTGGGTGCAGTCATATTTAAGATGGGGCTGCCTGCTTGGTTCTGGTGTGCTCCATGGCTTAGTGAGGGCTGGCCAAGGGACGCTGTGTTTGCCGAGCGAGGGGTCCTGGCTGGCGGGGAGGGCTGGCCTGCTGCGCCCCTCACCTGCTGTGTTCTCTCTCCGCAGGCAGAGTGTCGCTGGCGCAGTTCGCGCTGGCCTTCGTGACCGACACGTGTGTGGCGGGCGCGCTGCTGTGCGGGGCTGGGCTGCTCTTCCACGGGACGCTGCTGCTGCGGGGCCAGACCACGTGGGAGTGGGCTCGGGGCCAGCACGCCTACGACTTGGGTCCCAGCCACAACCTGCGGGCAGCCCTGGGGCCCCGCTGGGCTCTCGTCTGGCTCTGGCCCTTCCTGGCCTCCCCGTTGCCTGGGGACGGGATCACCTTCCAGACCACAGCCGATGGGGTGGCTTCCTGACTCCGGAGGGTGCACAGGGCCGGGGAGCGGCGCGGGGCGGGTGGGGGACCGGCACTTTCCGGCCGGCCTCCCGCGTGAGGCAGGCTGGCACTTCATGCCGGCTTTGGGCAAGTCCAGCCCCATGCTCGGCCGAGCCCTCCCGGCTTGGACTCCCAGTGTCCGGGGCTCGGGCCCTGCGGCTCTGCCCACCGCCCAGGTGCAGTGGTGGATCCGGCAGGGGCTGCCCCGCTGCCTCACTGCCCCTCTGTCAGGTTAATAAAGCCCACTTACTTCTCAGACCCTCATGTCTGTGGGGCCTGGCCCCGCGCGTGGCCCGGGCTGCGGTCTCGGACCCCAGCTCACCCCAGGCTCGGTGATTCGTGGCCGGTAGCGTCTCCGCCACAGCCGTGTCCCTGAGTCTCAGGCGAGCCCTGCACGTGGGCAGCAGTGTGTGGGTGGGAAACCCAAGACTGTTCTCTCAGGGAGCCCGGGGGCTCCGAGCTCAGAGGGCTGTGCTTCCCCCGCCCCTCACACAGCTGAGGTGAGTGAGGCGAGTCGGGTGAGGGTGGGCCGGAGTCCTGAGGCCGCGGCCGGGCGCTCCTGGTTCAGCCTTTCAGGGTGCCTGGCCTTCCAGCTCGCCTGGATTTAAGCACGGGGGTTTATCTCCATTTCCTCTGAAAGTCTGAGGTGACTGCACAGTGAGAGGTGAGTTTCCAAGGAGAAGCGGGAGGGGAGGTTGTGGTGGAGCTCTACGCCGACTGTGAAAGCAGCAGGGCGCTTCACTCTCTGGGGGAGTCGACTGGACTCCCCGAGGCCCAGGCTGAGGCTCCCCAGGACGGGCAGGGCTCGGGAATCCCGCCAGCACCGTGGAGGGCGAGGCCTGGCTTGGTCCAGCAGCAGGTCTGCGTGAGGGCAGCTAGGTCGCCTCTCCCTGGCCCTCAGGCCCAGCAGCTGCCCTCTGGGTGAGGTGAGGGCTGCTCAGCCTCTGGCCTCAGGGGCACCCGGGAGATGGGTGTGAGGGGCTGGGCCAAAACGAAGGTGGAGTGGGCAAGTCTCTATGTAGGTGCTGCTGCTGGGGTGGGGTGGGGGCTTCCAGGGACCTGGCCAGCCTGCTCCCCCAGAACCCCTCAGAGAAGCCCTCCTCCTGACAGGCGCCGCCCTCAGCGGTTGAGCTGCCAGGTCTCTGTGTTCTGTGTTTCAGAGGGCACCTGCTGTTCCTTTGTAAAATCCAAGCTTGGGTGCCTGGCACTGAGCTACATACCGAGTGTCAGCAGACCTCTGCCCACCGAGTGACCCCCACCCTCCGAAACGGCTTTTCTTTCTTCTTTGGTGTCATTCACGCTGTGGCGAGGAGGTGCGAGAGAAGCTCCCCTCGGCGCCAGGCCACAGTGGAGTCGCCCCCGGGCAGGAGCACGGTGCTCTGTCGCCCCGCCTTGCTTTGTGTGTGTTGGCTGGCATGTTTGGGGTCTTACGGGCATCAGCCACGCCGTGGCCGTCCCTCTGGGACTTGCCTTTCCTCCACATTCTGTTCCCGGTTGCCCCTTCCCTGCTCCAGATCAGCATCGCTGTGAACAAGCTGTGTCTCTATTTTCCCCCTTTGGTCATTTTGTCTGCGACTGTGTATGATCCTTTAAGATTTATTCTTGACCCTTGTTCTTCTATATAAATTTTAGAATCAGTTCATCAAAGTCCACCAGTAAAGCCCCTTTGAGACTGACTGAACCGGAAGCCAGTCCGGGGAAAATGAACTTCTATGTGAAACTGACCTTTGCAGTTCGTGAATGTGGTGCATCTCCATTTAATATTTTCAATAAAGTTATACACTTTTCTCATAGAAACCTGGTCATGTCCCTCAGGCCTGAGTGTCGGCCACCGCCAGGCAGCGCCTGGCCAGAGGGGGGATGCTAGAGGCTGTCACAGTGGTTCAGGGCGGCACTGGCAGCAGCAGAGGACAGCGAGGTGGGCTGGGCGCTGGCCAGGGCTTCGGGAGGCGCTGAGCCCAGAGCGGGCTCCCTGCCCTGGCGTGTCGGCTCGCCTCTGCACACCCAGCCCACTCAGCGCAGCGCCTCGGGCCGCTTCGCCAGCTAATGCCTCCACCGGCCGCAGCCCAGTGGCCTTCCTGCACATGTCCCTCTGGGGTGCCCAAGTGTGCTTGCTCTTTCCAGCTGGCCATCTTTCCCCTGGGATCTGTCCTGGGGTGAGCGCCCAAGTCGGGTGCAGAGGCTGTACGCCTCAGGACCCGGCGGGGCTCTGAGTGGGCACCCCCCCCCAGCAGCTCTTCTGTGGTGCTCTTCTTGGCGCAGGGGCACTGACCTTGGCTGGGCCCGAGAGTGGAGAGGGGCCTTGTTTGAGAGGCCAGCTCGCGTTCCTCCTCAAGGTGAGCCTGTTAGACTCTCCTGTTTGGCTCTGCCCACCCTGGCCACCTCAGAGCTCTTCCCTGGGGCCTGGGTGGTGTTTTCAGAAGCAGCAGCTGGAGTCCCTGGGTTTTCCTGAGGAGAGGAGCTGGGCATCTGGCACTCACTGTCCTGCCACGCGAGGTCACCGTGGGTGGTGAGAAGGGTGCTTAGGAGAGGAGGGGTGCTGTGGCCCAGCAGGCTGTGGCGCAGGAAGTAGGCCCCGGCCCCCCACATGCACCGCTCAGTAGAAGGCGCTGGATCTTCCTGGCTCTGATTCCGCAGAGGCTGTGCCACCAGCCCAGGGCTCAGGCAGCTGCCAGCCCCTCGCTCACGGGCATGTTGATGTGGGCACTCAGCAGGGGTGCGCTCTGGCCTTCCCGGAGCACCAGTGCCTGTGCAGAAGGTGTTTGTGGTTGTAGGGAGCTGGTGCCCTTCACGCCAGTGCCCTGCACAGGTCTACACCGGCCCTAATAACAGGCGCCAGGGCCGCTGGAGGCGGCTTCTGCAGATGCCCTCCCACACGCACCTTCCTCTGGTGCCCGCGGGTGACCTACCTTGATAATGTCTGAGATGCCCTTGTCACTGAGACTCTCCACGCAGGTCTCCAGAGGGTAGTTGATCCCTGGCACCAGCAGGGGGACCTAATTTGTTGGACAAAGAGGTAAGGAAATCAGCTCTTGTGCCTGGACAGAGTTGGGCAGGTGCCAAAGTACTCCGCCTGCTGGCACTGCATCTCTGGGCATCGTCAGGGGGCTGGGTGAAGCCGCAGGCTCAGTGCGGGGCCCAGCGCATTCTGAAGAGATGTCTGGACCCCTACAGTCCAAGCTTGTGTCTTCACCTGCCCGGGTGTCTGTTTCTCATTCTCCTGATTTAGGGGCAAATCTGGGTCCAGCGGGGAAATCAGCCCGTTGCTCCGAGGAGTCTTGGCAGAGGTGCCCCTGCATTCCCGCTGCAGCGGCGGCTCCAGCACGAGGCGGGCTGAGGGCCCGCCAGCACTCTCGAGCTTCCAGGCGGCATGGGGACAGGCTGGGGCGCATCGAGGCAGGTCTCGGGGGCCGTCCCGAGGCCCTGGCTGCGCACTGGCCAGGTCTTTGACTGTGCCACCTGCCAGTTCCACCCCTCTGACCTGCTGGGGCTCTGTGGGCATCCAGCCAGGCCCAGGCCTCACACTGCTCAGCCCCTGTCCGGAGGGGCGCGTACCTTGAAGAAGGCCCGGGGCAGCGCGTACAGCGTCTCGTTGTACAGGAAGCAGACCAGCAGCCCCAGGATGGGGCGGGCAGTGGAAGTGTTCTGTAGGTGAAGCGTGAGCTTAAAGGTGGGGCCGAGGCCCTGGACCTGTGTGTGAGGGGGGGGTGCAGAAAGCAAGCCCTTAGGGCCTAGTGCTCTTGGGCATGGAGGGTGGTGCCCTGGCCCTGCCACCTGCTTTCCTATCAGTGCCCCCAAGGGGCCCAGCTCTGGCTGCCCTGCGAGAGCAAGGGAGCCCCGGGGATTGGCCTAGCCCAGAAGAACCCCCCCCCCGGGGCCACCTGGCCGGCGGGAGGTGGCGCTGCCTGGGGCACAGGTCTGCTCCCTCCAGGTCCTTACCACTGCCCAGCCTGTCCCACCTCCCCCTCAGCCTGTGGGGCCACAACGACTCTATCAACCCACTTTATGGAAAGAAATGAGAAAACCCAGCGTGGCTCGCCCGACCTGGCGGCCCCTCCCCGAGGGCCGTCGGGTCTCCTGGTGCTGTGCGCGCCGGCTGAAGCACACACAGTACACACAGTGTTCCTGCGAGTCCCAGCGCTGTGAGACGCCTCCCCAGCTGACTCCTGGGCGTCCTGCCCCAGGTCTGGAGGCTCCCTTGGGGAGTGTGTGTCGCGCTCTGCTGCCCGCATGGCGGACACGCAGAGGGGCGCACACGAGTCGGCCCTGGGCCTATGGCGAGGTAACAAGGCCTGTGTGGCTTGGATTTGGCTCTGGGGCTTCACCGTGTGGACACCCCAACTTCTGCTGACACGACTCACCACAGCGTGCAGCTTGAGGGGCTCCCGGGCCGTGGCAGACACGGGGTTCAGGCTGGACTCCAGGGCCTGCACGTAGGTGCGGGCGACGCGCAGGCGTATCAGGTAGAGGTCTGTCTGGAAGCTCCGGTACATGGCTGAGGAGGGACCAGGCGATGCGGAGGTGGGGAGGGGCGGGCGGTACGGGGCAGGAGGGGCCGGGGGCACCGCTGTGCGGAAGGTGCCAGAGGACCGGGCTGGGTCTGCAGAGGCGATGCGGGGGACCCGCGGACACAGGTGCGAGGCCTGTTCTTGCGAGAAGTCCCGCGTCTGGAGGGGACAGGCCCTGCTCTGAAGCCCAAGGGCCCCTCCCTCATCCACAGCCCCAGCCTGGTGGGCCCGCTGTCCGCAGGGAGCAGCACGTCCTGGGCTGGTTCTGGCCTTCCAGGGGCACGAGACAGGGCTGGGGTCTACTCCCACCGCTCGGGGCCCCCCGGCCTCCCCGCCCGCTGCTCCAGAGCAAGAGTTGGGAGCGGAAGGGCCCGGCCCGAGGCTCACCGGAGCCAGCCTCCCGCTCTCGCAGAGTCTGATCCACGTAAAGCCGGGTCTTCCGGGGCACGCTGAATTTCGTGGCCGGCTCTAGTTGGGGGCCCGCCTCCCCTCGCCCCTCCACAAACACTGCGGTTCGCTTCAGGATCTTGATGATCAGGCTGCCGCCTGGGAAGAGGACAGATGGACACAGATTGTTCTTCCCAGTTCCGCCCTCCAGGCCCTTTCTTCCCCCAAATCTGCCTCACAGTCGTTTCTATACTCTGTCTTCCTGCTGAGACTGTTTTGGGGGGGAATAAAATTTGTCTTAAAAATCTATCCTGAATGCGGGCCCTCCCTGGTGGCGCAGCAGGTTAAAGCACAGCACTAAGAAGCTACAGCCACTTCCGCATGAGTTCGATCCCCGCCCTGGAGGTGACCACAGGGCGCGGCAGACCTCTCCTGACCTGTCTGCTGCTCCCCTCAGCAGTGGCCTTCGTCAGTCTGTTCTGCTCCTTCATTCACTTAACAGCCCTTTATCGAGCACCGTGATGTTCCCGGTATTTGGGGGCGCTGGGGATACTGGGGTGAACCGGAGAGGCACAGCCCTGCCCTGAGCCTGGCCCCTGGGGTGCCCTGTTAACTGGCAGCTGAGCTGTGCCCAGGGGAGGCCAGCGCGACGGCCTTCCAGGCAGCTCCACCCCGCGCCCCTGGCTGCTCGCAGCACCGGCCTGCCCGCAGCTGCCGCCTCTGAACGCCCGGCCCTCACCTCGCGTAGCCATGACGAGGGTGTTGTCTTCCCTGCCGTAGCGGCCAAAGCAAAGGCTGGTCACCGCATCCTACAGTGGACACCAGAGTTGAGTTGGGGTAGAGAGCCCGAGGAGGAGCGCGGAGCGCGGCGGCGAGGCCCGAGGCCAGGAGGCCCGGGTACGAGCCACCAGCGAGACGGGCAGGAGCAGCGTGGCCTGGTCTTTCTCCTCTAGCGGCCTTCCCGCAGCTGCCTGCTGCTTCTTGAAAACACACACCGACATTTCCGCTCACGGCTGAAATCATCGAGGAGGCGGCTGTGGCCTCTTCGGAACACGGATCTGCCACCTCAGCCCCTCCTGGCGGTGCCCTGCGCTCTCCTCGCCCGCCCGACCCAGCTCCCTCCCAGCACCGAGGGGCCACGGCAGAGACCGGACACACACGTGGCTTCCCAGGCGCTACACCCTCGACACGCAGCTGCCATTTCTTTCAGCGCTGCTGGTTGTGACCCACTAAGTTGATTTAATGACCAACAACCAATGGCTGAAATACTCTGCTCCTGAGTCACCGGCCTCTGAGCCTTCCTTCATGAGGTTCCACCTGGAAGGTGGATCCACTTGACAAAGGCTGAGGCCCAGCTGGATGGCCTGGCCCCGGAGGTGTCCCGGGAGGCCGTCCTCACATGTCCCCCCGTCCCACCGTTTGGCACCCCTGGGCCCTTCGACACTTGGCTCAGCAGCAGCCCAGTTCCTAGGGCAGTCGGCTGTGTCTCCGGCACCCTGGACGCTAAGCTCCCTGAAGGCAAGGACTTGTCACCTTGATGATAAGCTCTGAAGGCCAGCAC